ATCATCATCTACAACAACAACATCATCAATAACAAAAAACCACAACAAACAAGAAGAAATCCCAGCACAATAAAACAGAACCGCGGCCACCATGTCCAGGAAGCAGAAACGTAAGCTGGGTGAGATCAGCAACTACGTGCAGGAGACGGTCAAGAGCAAGAAGGTGAGTGGACTGACCACACACACACACTCACACTCTCACACACATGCGCTCACACACACACACTCACACACATACACACACTAGCTAACGGTCAAGAGCAAGAAGGTGAGTAGTTTGACCACACATACACACATATTTGTACTCATGTATATACATAAACACACATACACACATATTTGTACTCATGTATATACAGAAACACACATATTTGTACTCATGTATATACATAAACACACACACACATATTTGTACTCATGTATATACATAAACACACATATTTGTACTCATGTATATACATAAACACACATATTTGTACTCATGTATATACATAAACACACACACACATATTTGTACTCATGTATATACATAAACACACATATTTGTACTCATGTATATACATAAACACACATATTTGTACTCATGTATATACAGAAACACACATATTTGTACTCATGTATATACAGAAACACACATATTTGTACTCATGTATATACAGAAACACACATATTTGTACTCATGTATATACAGAAACACACATATTTGTACTCATGTATATACAGAAACACACATATTTGTACTCTTGTATATACATAAACACACATATTTGTACTCATGTATATACAGAAACACACATACATCTAAATTTCATCAAGGAAAAGCTATGGAAAACTCAAGCCAAGTCCCCAGTAATATTTCCTGTCTTACGAGTGTTCAATATGGCTACTCGCAATAGCACGGGCAACATCAGTGCGATAAGAGAATTCATCTGAGGCGTGTTTCAGCTTATCACGGTCCACTGAGTTGACCGCTGGTGTTATTCAATGTTTAATAAAGTCATCGAGGTTTGTGGGTAGGTGTCGAACATAAACACGATCTTTTATATATGTGTCACAACGCAGTGGAATCAGGCGCTCGTCAATTTTTGGGCATGTGGAGTTTTTGGTACCATCTGAAAGCTGAGCTATTTGCCTTGCTTTTGCTGAAAAGATACCCATCTGTGTGAAATAGCAGGCGAAATATTTGCGATTGAAGGAGATGAGGTACCTGGTTTTAGTGGTATAATTGGCGAGAAAATGGACATCAAATTTTGACAATTTCAATGAAAACGATGAAATTACATATTTTATGCCTTTAACCAACTTTTTTCTGTAAAATTCATTGAAGGAAACGTTTTGATATGGACACGAAAGGTGCTGAAGCAAAAAAACAAAATTCAACAAAAATTGCTGAGCTGGCCGAAAAATGCCAGTTTTTGGGGGGTTTTTTCGTCTTTTTGACGAGCGCCTGATTTCATCACGATTACTCAGATATCCCCACTAGGAAAAAAACCCACACAGTGAGGTCTGGGGATCTGGCAGGCCCGGCACAGAGAGGAAGGTCTTGAGCCCCCCCTCCAACCAATCCATCACTAGGGCACGGCTATTCAAAAGTTAGATAACTCCTCTTTCAACTAATGGTCGCTGACTCATTCCATAACGATGCTTGAGAACTGGAGCAATGCCTCATAAAATCGGTTCACTCTTTTTTTTTTGTTCAAAAGTTAGATAACTCCTCTTTCAAATAGTCGCTGACTCATTCTATAACGATGCTTGAGAACTGAAGCAGTTTGTCATGAAATCGGTCCACTCTTTTCCGTTCAAAATTTAGATAATTCCTCTTTCAAAGTTTTACTGACTCATTCCATAATGATGTTTGACAGCTGCAGCAATTTGTCATCAAGGCGGTTCACTCTTTTTGAATCACCGATGTGACGACTCACTCTTTTTGAATCACCGATGTGACGACTCACTCATATGCGTACCCAAACAGTAGATGCACATATTCTCATATTAAAGTAGACATCATGAAAGTTTCTGTCAGTCACATGACACACGTCTAACTCACGTGACACACGTGTAACCCATGTGACACATGTCAGACTCGCGTGACACACACTCACATCTAACCCATATGACACATGTGTAACCCACCTGAGACATGTCTAACCATCATGACACACATATAACCCACATGACACACATATAACCATCATGACGCACACGTCTTACCCACTTGATACACGTCTAACCATCATGACACACATCTGACTCATGTGACACACACTCACATCTAACCCACGTGACACACATAACCCACGTGACACACATCTGACACACGTCTGACACACATGACACATCTAACCCGCATGTTTCTTCCAGCAATCCCTGTACCAGGAGTACTTGCACACACACACACACACACACACACACACACACACACACACACGTCTGACACACACACGTCTGACACGCACACACACACACACACGTCTGACACACACACACACGTCTGACACACACACACACACGTCTGACACACACACACACATACGTCTGACACACACACACACGTCTGACACACATGACACACGTCTAACCCACGTGTTTCTCCTCACACCCCCAGCAATCTCTGTACCAGGAGTACTTGCACACACACACACGTCTGACACACACACACACGTCTGACACACACACACACACACGTCTGACACACATGACACACAGTCTAACCCACATGTTTCTCCTCACACCCCCAGCAATCTCTGTACCAGGAGTACTTGCACACACACACACACGTCTGACACACATGACACACAGTCTAACCCACATGTTTCTCCTCACACCCCCAGCAATCTCTGTACCAGGAGTACTTGCACACACACACACGTCTGACACACACACACACGTCTGACACACACACACACACACGTCTGACACACATGACACACAGTCTAACCCACATGTTTCTCCTCTCGTCCCCAGCAATCTCTGTACCAGGAGTACTTGCAGCAGAGCGTGGCAGAACAGGACCTCTGACTCTGACTCCTGTAGCGGGCGGCTGATTGGTGCGTTGGACTTGCTGTAGTGGACGGCTGATTGGTGCGTCTGGCCTTTTGTTGCAGTCAGCTGATTGGTGCGTCCAGCCCTCAGTAGCTGTCAGCTGACGATTGTGCCGGACCTCCCATCAGCCCCGCGACCTATGAGCTCTGTACTGTCTACGCCATTTGCTCACTGTTATCAATCATCATCGTTGTTGTTGCTGTTGTCATCGTCTTTGTTTTATCATCTCGCCGCGGAGATGTGGGTCCCATCACATGCACAGTGAGGGAACTTGCCATCTGGTCATCTGTGTGTCTGTTTGTTGACGAGTGTTTGCGCGGGTGGTGAGAAGAATGGTCGCACGTCGCGCGCGCCAAATGTCGCTCCAGATACTTAAAGTTTATTTTAAAGTGGAATGTTTCTCTCTAGACCACAGGTGTCAAACTCGAGGCAGTGGGTGGTTGGCGGGTGTTCTGATGTGGTTTGCTTTTACTCCCCTACTATCAAACTTCTGTCGTCCTCGTCTTTCTTCCTACTTCTTTTCTTTGTGTCTTTACTCTCTTGCAACACTTCTAATTTTCGGCTCTCATACGACGAGCTATTTGTGTGTTGCAAGTGTCTTAAACTTTTACAAAACATAACTCAAGGTCTGCGAATAATTATGTGTGACCCGAGATAGCGATAGAATTTTAGAGAGTCCCATCTTGAGGAAAACAGCATAACACAGAATTTTGCATTTTTCTCCTAAATGTGCCAGGATCTGGACAATAAAGATGTATCTTTTCTTATCTAAAAAAACCAAACATGTTGCCAGGAAGAGATGTTAAACCGCCAGCTCTGACAAAAATTTGGAAAAATGCAAACCTGTGAAAAAAATTGCTATCCCTTGAGTTATTTTTTTACCTTTGTCTGTTTTAATTAATTTTATATCGTTGCTTTTTACAGAATGTGTGGCTGTGCACTGCTCAGTGAATGGTTCTCCAGTTCAGCCCACGAACTTAAGTGTGTAATTTATTCGAGTTTGACACCTCTGCTCTAGATTGTTGTAGTTTGTTAACTGTTTGAGATGAACGAACTCCCCCCGCCCCCACCCCACCTCCATGTTGTGTAAGTTTCTTAGAATTTTTGTACCAGTATTTATAGAGATGTTCATGGCTGCAAGGAATGATGTTGGTTAGGATTATATTTATGAGAATGGAGATACTTTACTTTACTATACTTTACTTTTCTGATCTAGCGGCCATTTGGGTTCTAGCCATTCGGCCTGTCGGTATGGCAAATAATTTACAGGTTTGAGAATGGAGATAGATGAATAAAAGTGTGAAGTGTTGAAATTAAACAGTAGGTAGGTAAATATGGAGTTTACAGCATGTCAGTTCGTCAGTGGTTTTAGTCAAACATCGACTCAATCCAGACATCAGCGAGATTGAGAGTCAGGGGGTCAAAAACTGGCTTCTGTGGTGTAGTGGTTAGGAGCTTTGCCATCATACAAAGGAGACCAGAGTTCAATTCCCATCTGGGGAAAATTTTTATGCAGGGTTCACACCAAGCAGGAAATTTTTTTTCCCAAGAGTTTTCAAGACCAGATTTCTTTTTTTCCATTCAAATAACGTGTCATTTTGGAAGAAAATTTTTCGTTCAGCATGCAAAAATACATTATGGTACTGTTCAGAATGCGTAAAGTCGAGGCCTTCGAAACTTCAAGGAAATATTTGTATAATAGGTCTAGTTAAAAATTCGTTTTTCCAAGAATTTTGCCAATTTCCCAAAATTCCAAGAGTTTTCCAGTTTTTTAAGATGCGTACGAACCTTGTTTATCGAGTATCTTGGTCTGTCTGCTCCATCAATGTGAGATCCCTCTCGGCCCGGGTTGACCCTGACAGGCAGAGTCGAATCATCGTATCCGGAGAACTATCTGATTTGTGTCGATGAGGTCGTAAAAATGTCTACATTGAATTTTTTTTACAAATGTTTCACCAGTACCATTTTGCAGTAAGAATGTTAGACAGCTTCTAGTCCCGTGTCTAGACAATTTTGACGTACGTGTGAGACTCGCAAATCCAAATCCAAAGAGAATTTCTATTGCTCATGATACCTTTGAACGAACCAGTAATATAATTAATGATCGTAGCGTCCTGTCCATTGTTTCATGTTCAACTACTCAGTGCCTGTAATAAACATTGACCAAACAGTGGATCGTCTCAGTGGGCGTGTGTTCTTGACTTCTTGTTTCATTATATTTGATGTCACGGCGTGGAGTTTTGTTTTTTTGTTTGTTTTATTTGTATTTGTTTTGTGAGGTTTTTTTGTTTGTTTTATTTGTATTTGTTTTGTTGGATTCTTTTTATACCGGTACTTGTTTCCTAAAAAATATTATAGGTTGTTTTTTTTGTCTACTTAATTGTTTTGGGGTTTTTTAGATGCCTATTTTTTATTTTTAAAATTTGGTTTTTTGTTTATTTGTTTTTATTCTTGAATACTAGTTTCGCATAAAATAATGTGGTGCTGTTTGCTGTTTTCTCATATACTAGTTGGATATGAAATATCCATTTTGTTTGTTTGTTCGTGATGATGAGACTGAGGGTTTGGGGGTTCGAGCCTCAGCTCGGTCCCACGGGTCCTTGGGAAAGGTACTCTACACAAATTTCCCACTTGGCTCGGTCCTTTCGGAGATGGACGTTATACTAGGAGGTCCCGCCTCTTCAATAATCGAATAGTGTTGAATGGGGCGTTTAATCTATACCTTTTCACTTTTTGGGGGGGTTTTTCCAACTTTATAGGGAAGTGTGTGAAGCTGACAACCTGGATGATAAAACAGGCTGCGTGCTAAGGTTGATTAATCCCTTGTGACTAGGCATGCAGTTTACCAAAAATACTATATTATTGTGTACCCAGTCAGATACATACATGAGGACTATTTTATTGTAGCCTACTTGTGTTGTTTTAGAGGTTGCAGAAACGTTTGTTTTATTTCGATTTTTTTTCTTTTTTAAATTTAAATGTTTTTACGTTCCAACAAACACAATTTAGATTATATAGGAGGCAGGCTTATGACTTTGCCTGTGAAGGCTAACCCTGGCTCAGAGGGATAAAACATCCCGGCAGAAAGATCGAGATACTCGATAAAAATTTCTTCCCACTTGAGAATTGAACTCGAGTCTCCTGTGTGCAACAGCGAGGCGTCTAACCACTGCACCACTGACGCTGGTACGGAGGAATTCAAACAACGAAAAAGTGGGTGGTTGGCGGGTGCTCTGGTTTGGTTTGCGTCTTCTTTCCTATTGAACATCTATCGATCGTCGTTATCTCCACTCCTTCTTTTTTGTGTTTGTTACTCTCTTGTAACACCTCTAATCTTCGGCACTTGTATGACCTTATTGTGTTGCAAATGCCGTAGAACTCTTACTGACACTAAAACACGGAGGATTTCAAACAATGAAAAAGTAAAACCGTGAAAAGAAAAATTCAAACGAAATTATGGACGTTCAGAATAACAGCTTGTTTTATTTCAAGAGAACATTTACTTTTGTCCGTCCGTCTGTCCCAAACAACCAAAATAATTTGGAACTCTCATCTTGACAAACACATTTTGAAGCCCTCTCTAAATCTTGACACCTAAAAAAAAATAATTAATTTTTACAAAACTTACGTCTTTCTGAATGATGAAGAACATTCTAGACGCACAGACAGAAAGATGGACAGACTAATAGACAGACGGAAATACTAGAGCTATCAGAAAGACGAACAGACAGATAGACAGACAGCAGTGTATGAACAATTGGTTCTCTCTTCAGTAGCGCCACTCGTGGGTCATGACCTTGACCTGACAGCAAGGTCAGAGGTCAGAGACAGCCGCTGACTCAGCACTGGCCCAGCAAGATGCGACACGTGTAGCGGACGTTGGGGTCACTGGCCTCGACACATTTCTGGGAAGACACATCAAGGACACAATTAGTGACACAGCAAAGACACATTTCTGGGAGGACACAGTTAGTCACAGCAAGGACACAGTTAGTCACAGCAAAGACACATTTCTGGGAGGACACAGCAAAG